ATTGTGGCTCTTCACTATCCCTTTAACTCCTTGATGGAATTTAGGCTGGCTTTGTAAACTTTACCCATACTGCTTCTTTGGAAATATCCAGATTTGCTAACATTTGCTCACACTGACTTTATAATCAAACATGTGATTAAAACTGCTATGTCTCACAAATAATTTAAAAAAATATTTATTATTTATTTGAAAGTCAGAGTTAGAAAAGGAGAGAGAGAAATCTTTCATCAGCTGGTTCACTCACCAGAGGGCCAGGCTGAAGCCAGGAGATATCTAATTTGTGCTTTTTGGAAACATCAGAAAGTTTGAGGCAAAGGCACAAGTTGAGACACTGGGATGTTAATCATCTTTTTGTGGCCTGGGTAAAGATGTAGTTTGGTTTAAAAACCCAGCAAAACTAGAAGCATTACACAGAGCGACCATGGCACTTTTCCGTGCATGGTACTATAACCTCTGAGCACACAGCAAGAAGGGCAGTGTGTTAGGTCTGTCAAGTCCCTACTCTTTCTGAGTTCCGTGCCAGGGAAACTGTGCTGAGGGCCCTGCACTTGCTCTGGCTGTACTCTTCTCTGAGTCTACATTCCTGGTCAAACGCAAGAACATCGTGTGTGTGTGTGTGTGTGTGTGTGTGTGTGTGTGTGTGAAGTCTCTTTAACCCACAGTCTAATTTGTAACAATTCAACTGCTTCTACCACTGAAAAATGATCTGAAAAAACCGTTTCTATTTTTAAAAAATGAGTTAAATGCTTTAGAGTTATGTGATAAAGGCATACTGTTAAAAGGTTTGCTGCTAATTTGTTATAATATTGTAAATTTGGGGGAAAAACCCCTCACAAATGTCTAGAATTGCTTTGCAAGAGTCTGTGTTTTAAAGAAAAGGAACCTGTAAACTGCAGGCGACACTTGCTAATATACGCAGGGAAGAGAAATAATAAGAAATTTCAACCAGTGTCTCCACTGAAAACACCTTGATTATAAAAAGGCACATATATCTAGTTAAGATAATTACATAGGTATCTTTTCTACATGATTACCACTTTGGAAAAACTTAAAAAAATTAAACTACTGACTGGTCACACAATTTCTGAAACTCTTAAAGCTGGAGCACTAAGCATTCCTCTGCTACTTCATGCCCACACAGACCTGCGTGTTGTCCACCCTAGCTCCCCGCACACTTTAGATATCCATCATCTTCCAGACAATTCTTAGAGATGGCCAACACACCTAAACGTGATTTAGGAATCTCACTGTTGTATAAGATTCCCCCCCGCCCATTTCGCCTTTCTGTTGCTAGAACTTTTAGTTCTAGTCTTTAGTTAGTTTCATGAACATAAAATGAACTTTTCAAAAGAATTATAAAACTTGTGATATGGAATATTTTCCAAGAGAGTTACTGGGGCATAATTTATATGGATACAATTTGCCCATCTAACACATATGGCTTGATGGGTTTGGACAACTTACATACATGTGTAACTGCCACTGAATTAAAGTCTAAATATTCCTAATACTCCAGAAAACTGTTTCACTGTGGCTGATGCCCCAATCCCTTCTGCGACATGCAACGCTCTGCGCCCTCCCTGGGGAAGGGCTCGGTGGTGGCGCGCGTCCCTGCTGTCATCAGCAGCAGTCATGGAAGGTAGAGTGTCACACATCCAGTCACCTGCTGTGTGACTTTGATGCTGTGGTTTCCATTTCGACAGTTTCCAGCTATTATGAATAACGCTCTGTGAATATTCATGTAAGCCTCGGGCAAGTAAGTTTTCCTTAAATATCTGTTAGCAGCAGATATGAGAGCCAGTAGAGCTGTTAGTTTTTTCAATAAATATGTTTCACCTTAAAAGAAACTGTCAGTTTCTTTTTTAAATTGGCAGAATAATTTTATGCGCATAGCAAATCTAAGAGAGTTTCACTTGCTTCACATTTCTTTTTTTAAAGGGATGGGCTGTTGGCCTAAGAGTTAGACACGTGAGTGCCCCTTCAGGCACCTGCGCTCGATGCCTGCTCCGCTCCAGCCTCCTGCCGAGGCAGACCCTCGGAGGCAGCAGTGACTCCAGGAGCATTTACGCGACTCCTGTTTCCAGCTCAGTGCTGCTGCAGTATTCAGGGAATGAACCAGCAGATGGGAGCTTTCTCTCTTTATCTGCCTCTCAAGTTAACAACAACAGCAACAAATACAAGCTATTTATGTACGCAGCTAACCTGTTACCTCCATATGTACTCATCACTGAGTGATATGTGCTCAGGTCTATGTTATACATACATCTACAGTTTCTTTTCTTCATACAGCGTTGCGACAGACGAAAAACATAACCCCAGTTGGCGGATGCCCAAGTGGTCCATGTGCGCTGAAGCTGGTTTCGTTTCACATTATTATTAATACTTTGGAACACGGTGAAATTTACCAACCGGGCATTCTAGACCTATTATGTCTTAAGAAATGCCATTTAAGGTTATCTAGATCCCATGTGCTCCACAGGAACAGCGGGTGGCTTCAGAGGCCCTGCTAGGGGTCCTTTTGCTCCCACCCAGCTGGCAGGGGCAGAGGTGGCTCCAGAATTGGTGTCCCATGTACCAATGGTGCTGGGTAAAGCCATCAGGCTGCCTGGTGGTGACCCATTCTAGGGGCTTGGAGGTGTAGGCTTACATGGGGTCTGGGCTACAGCACAAGTGAGGCTGAGCAGGACCTCAGGGTTCATGTCCATTGATAGGAATGACTGCTGTGGGACATCATTGGACTAGGCCAATGTACTTTCAGGCGAGTGAGGGTGCTGAGTCCGAGTGGCTTGGAGGGGGGAACAGGAAGGCCTTTAAAGGTCCGTCTGAAGCACCAGCACATGTGGGAGACCTGAACTGGGGTAGTTAGCATTGACCATCACTGAGTACCACTCATTGACACACACTGAAGCCAAGGCTGGGGCCTACCAGACAGGGCAAGATCACAGTAACCACCAGTGAAGAGTTTGATCAGGGGGAGGGTGAAGTTAGCATGGGCCAAGAAAATAACTAGTGTGTGAGAGAATCGGTCTTGAGGCAGAATCTGGAGGGCATAAGTGGGCTCACCCCTATGCAACTGCAATCTCCACTGGGGATGGAAACAGGCTTGGCTGGGGAGCTAGTGGACACCACAGCTGGGTTGGGATTCCCGCTGGTGGGCACTGGTGAGGGCAGACAGCTGGGCTGGCCACGGCTATAGCCTCCCTCAGCACAGATGTGGACTGGGTCTGGGAGCGACACACTGGGCTACACTCCAGCACCCACTGGAGTGCCAGGATGGGTGTAGACCGGGCTGGGCTAGGTCTTGACTCCCACTAAACCACATGAAAGCTGTGCCTGGTCATGGACTCAGTGTGACTAGGCTGCAACAACAGGAAGAGCCAGAATGGATGTGGGCTGGTTGAGCAAGGCCATTGTCCCTGTCAGGACAAAACATGGACAAAGCCAACCTGCCCTAAGGATCCACTGGTGTGTGCGTGATCTGCCAGTGGGAGGAGACCCGACAGAGAAGCCTGGGAAACTCCTTTGTAGGGACACAGTCTATGCAGGTGAGTGCAAGAACCAAGGCCAGGAGCAGCCCAGACCATGCCAGGTTGTACAGTACCTGCCAGCATACATGTGGCCCAGGTCTGGGGACAGACCAGGCTGGGCCAGTTTGTAACATCCACTGGCAGGTCTGAGAACCAGGACAGGGTGTGGGAGGGGCCAAGTCAGGCTGCAACGCTAGCCAGTTCACACTGGGGATGGTGAGGAAAGATGAGCCATGCCAGCCTGGGGTCAGGGGGATCCAGCAGGGCTCGGGTCACCTTGCCCAGGTCCGGAAGCCCACATGTGAGGTGGGTGCTGGGTTTATGAGCTCTGGGGTGGGGGATCGGGTGGGGCTCAGGTTGCCTGGCCCAGGTCCTGTGGCCCACCTGTGGTGGTGGGTGTTGGGGTTGGGGGACCTGGGGGACTTGGGTCTCCTGGCCTGGGTCCTGGGTCCTGCCTGCAAGGAGGGTGCCAGCAGGAACAGGGGAGCCAGTGGGGCTTGGGTCACCTGCTCCTAGTCCTTTGACCTGCCTGTAAGTGATAAAGGCAGAGCAGTGGACACAGACCCTGATGCAATATGGAGAATAAGGCAGCTCATTTGGGTACTGTCGCAGAGGAAGGGGAACAGAGCAAACTGAACAACTACCCCAGCAAACAAGGACAGCAAAAATCTGCGAGAACAGAGATTTGAGTTTAATTATGTCAGCCAATGGACACTGGGAGGGTTGCCTCACCCTTGGATGGGCAAAATCGACAGCACTGCAGAACTATCCACACCACTTGGGCAGAACCCTCGGAACATGCACCACGTAGGGACCCTGGGTTGATATTGGGTGCCTAACCATCCCTGGGCGCTGGGACATTTGGGAGGCTGGGTGCGGCTTCCCCATTTATGCCCTTCCCCCAGAGAAAAGAAGAGAATTAGGAAACAATCATTTCACCCACTTTTCCCTGATCCTTGATCCTTCCCACCCTGGTCAACCATGTAATCATTAAAAAAAAAAAAGTTATTGAAATGTATTCTCAGCATTTCAAATAATAGTTCTAGAAAATTAGCTGTGATTAATGCCTATTATGGCTTTTTCATTTTTTCCCCTACTTTTTAGTGAAGATTTAAATTTCTATTTTTTCTGTTCTTCCAGTGTAAGAATACTTTTACTGTATCTTTAATGAGTGTTCTTGAAGTACATATTTGTGAAACCTTTCCTATTGTATTATTATTTGCTGAGATAATAATACAACAGAAAGCCCTAATCTAAATAACTTAAATTTATAAATCCTTGTGGAGTCTGATGCACAATCTGGTTTCGTCAAGTTTCTATTATGGAAAGCTCGGTACGTTTGAATTTGCACATTGTTGCTGACATTTTCTATGCAAACAGTGGATACAACTCTAGTTTTAATGGACACATAACATGATCACCTAAGGGTGCAGACGTTTTACGAGAAACCTAAAATGACCGCTGTCTACTTACCTTAAAAAATTCCTTCTTCTCAATCATCTCGTTTCCGTCTGCATCCAACATTTTAAACGCCACATGAAACCCGCTGTGGGGTTCTGCAAGGAAGTGGGAAGCGAGTACCGTTTAGATGGGAGTAAAATGTGAAGTATTGGCAGATTTTCCAAGTTGAAGTAAACTTCCAGAAACTATATGCTGAGCACCGACACAAAGAGAGAGACCTGTTCTGAAGACATTTTTCAAAGGTTCTTACTTGTTCATGCCTTGTCCGGCCCCTTCCCCAGGTGCTAGCTGTTCCGCTAAGCTGGTGTTTGGAGCTTCAATACTAAATTAGAGAACTTCATTTCTTTCCTTAGCTGTACCAGGGGCTTTCATATATTCTTACAGTACCTATCCAGTTTTGTTTTCTTTTCTTTTTAAGAATTATTTTTTTTTTTTTTATTATTTTTTTTTTTATTGGAAAGGCGGATATACAGAGAGGAGATACAGAGAGGAAGATCTTCCGTCCGATGATTCACTCCCCAAGTGAGCCGCAACGGGCCGATACTATGCCGATCCGAAGCCAGGAGCCTCTTCCGGGTCTCCCACGCGGGTGCAGGGTCCCAGAGCTTTGGGCCGTCCTCAGCTGCTTTCCCAGGCCACAGGCAGGGAGCTGGAAGGGAAGTGGGGCTGCCGGGATTAGAACCGGCGCCCATATGGGATCCCGGGCGTGCAAGGCGAGGACCTAACCACTTGCGCCACCGCGCCGGGCCCAAGAATTATTTTATGATACAGTTCCATAGGCTCTGGGATTTCCCCTCCCTGCTCCCCAAATTCCCTCCCCCACACTGCTACTTAACCCATTTTCATATCGATTTTGTACTTTTCTTTCTCAGAGTAAGTTTTATTAAAAAGTTTTATTTTATAGACATTTGGAACTTACAGAAATGCTGTAGCCTACAGCCCCTTTACCCAGCTTCTTCTGATGTTAACATTTTATGTAACTAGATCAATTGACAATATGAAGAAGTCAACACTGGCATAGTACTACAAACTAAGCTGTCAATTTTATTTGCATTTCATGCTTTCTGCTAACATTGTTTTTTCTATTCAAGGTTCAAACATAAGACATCATGTGGAGCGGACTGCAATGTCTCCTTGGTTCCTTCCCATCTGGAAACGTCTCTTAGCCTTCCCTTGCTCTCCACGACCATCATACTTCCTGGTCAGACATCCTGTATAGTCTCAGCGGAGAGCTTTAGATATTCCGAAGCAAAGGTTAACTCTGATCCTTATGTTCATCTATCCTTCTATTAAGGATGCAGTTTTGGAGGCCATATCGTATGCAAAGAGGAGGATAATCTAAGCCAACATCATCATTTTCCAGATACAGAAATCAAAGAACCAGTAATATATTTAATGATGAAAACCATAAATGTCAAACTTCCAAAAATCCTGTTTGACAAGAACAGAGGGTTCTATAAGTGGCATACTTACTAGTGAGGATGGTAAGCAAGAAGAGATATTCAGTATATGAAATCAGCCCTGAAAGAGATAAAAATAAAAACACACCTAAAAATACTCTCCACATGTGTGGCAGTAATCATACAAGGGTAATAATACTGAAACATCACCTAATTAAAAATGCTTTTATTTTTAAATTGCCTCTCTTAGATACAGCGGAAACATTTTATGACAGTGTTGAAGTAGTCCTAACACTAAAAGATGCTATCTCATTTGGTTACTATCATAAGTGAGGAGGCATAACTGTGAATTTTAAGTGTCAACTTGATTGGGCCACTGGGTTTCCAGATGAAAGGTGATCTCAGTGTGTTGGTGGTATATGAACTAGTGGCTGCCTAACGTGGGTGGGCATCACACACTCAGTGAAACAAGCACAAAAAGGAGGAACTCACCCCTTTCCATGCCTCACTGAGCTGGGACAGCTCCTTTTATTCCTCGCTCTCTGAGATCTGCTCTCCTGGTCGTCACTCTGCATCACCAGCATGTCTGGGTCTCTAGCTTACAGGTGGTAGGGCATGGCGTCTCTAAACCTCCATGACGGTGTCTGCTAGTGTTTCCAATTAAGGTTTTACTCATACAGCTTCTCTGGAGGGCACCAACAGAGGGGGAAAGCACACTGGCTACAAATAGCATGCATCCACTGCAAGTTTTATTCTCATGATGCTTTATGTGATTTCAACTTCAGTGTTAGAATTCGCAACACTCAGCAGACAAGCACAGATCTGAGTAGACCGAAAGTCAAACAGTATGACTTAAAATGCGCAATTAAGTCTTTGTGGTAGTAATTTGATTTTTCTGTAGGGAATCATCCTTCCTGGCTTCTCACGTGTACGTTGGGACCTCTGTAGATCCTGACTGATACAAGCCAATCGGACTCCTACATAATTAATGAAAAGGCAGGCAAGGAGCTCAGGCCCAACTTAATAAGCAGGTGCCATGTGGCTCCGGGGACTGGTTCACACATGGACTGTGACCTAAGCTGGGCTACTCACAGATCTGGATATCACAGATTTTCAATGAGAACTTTCCACTGACAACTTTTTTTCCTCTTGAACTGGGCTCTGACACGTGAGAATGCTACATTTAGGAATGCTACCCAATGAAGAAAGTGCCCGGATGTGCCCGGAGGCTAGCATTTAGAAACTGAATGCAGTCTCCAATCAGCAGGCCTGAAGAACGGACCCTGGTGCCATCTGAAGCCTTTAGTAAGCTGTGTCTGACACAAACTCTATGTTTGGCCACTAAATAAACCTACTTTCTTGCTCAAATAAACTGTATCAGCGTTCATGTTTGCAACTAAGAGAATTACAATAAACAGTATCTTAAAATCATGGTTTCTTAGTAATTAAAAAAAACTTTCTCTGTGGATCCTAAGTTTGACATAATAGCAAAATGCACAATTAACAAGTAAAGACGCTGATTATCATGAAGACCTTTAATCATACACAAACATAATGAATGATTATAACTATAAAAGATAATAAGAATATAATATAAGAATAATACAAGAATTTAATATAAATTAGCTCCAATAATTAGCAGGTACTATTTTATCTGTATCACTTTTCAGTCCATGCCCACTAGATGCCACATGAACTGTGTCATTTCACCGTAAAACGCTGAGGCTATACCCCCTAAAATGACTGGTACCCTCTCCCTCAAACGCAATTAACATACCTAAGAAATGATCAGTCATTCTTTAACACCTCGAAGTTAATGTAGCATTACCAGAAAAGGAGAATTTAAAGTCCCTGTGTTGCACTTCATGAATAGAATTCTAAAGTCACGTAGGTCTGCCTTGCAAAAAAAATCGTGATGTAAAGTTTCTCAATTTAGTGACTTTTACATGTATGGTACAATTTTATCAAGTAAATTCATTCTGTGGTGCAACCATCACTGAAACCTTCTCATCATCCCAATCTGACACACTGCACACACTGAGCACTGAGTTCCTCCCTGCTTCCCGTTCATGAAACTTATACTTCCTGTCTGTAATTCTGTCCACTCCAAGTACCTCTTAACCCAAGGGGCCATACACTGACTTCATATTTTAATTATTTTTAAATGCTTTTAATGACTTGTCTTTTTCTTTTAACTTCACTACCTAATTTTCTTGGGAAGATTTATTTCTTTATTTTACTAGAAAGTCAGAATTACAGAGAGGAAGAGACGGAGAGAGGAATCTTCCATCCACCATTCTGCTCCACAAATGGCAGCACTGGCCAGAGCTGGGTCAGCCTAAAGCTGGCAGTCAGGAATTTCCTGTGGGTCTCCCTCCACTGGCCAGAGCTGGGTCAGCCTAAAGCTGGCAGCCAGGAATTTCCTTTGGGTCTCCCTCATGGCTGCAGGGGCCCAGGGACTTGGGCCATCCTCTGCTGCTTTCCCAGGCCCTAGGCAGGGAGTTGGAACTGCAACAGCTGGGACTTGAACAGGTGCCCATACTGCATTTACGTGTCATGGGAGAAGGATCAGCCTGCGTGCCACCATGCTAGTCCCATCTCTTTTTTGTTTTTCAATGATGGAGTTTGTATACTTTTCTTTAATAGTTAGCTTTTCCATAAAACTATTCAATGTTTATGTTAAAGGAGAATACATTAAACATGTTTTGTTTTATCTTGTACCTGGAAGAAGCACTCTAATGTTAGCTAAAGGATCAAAGTATTTCATCCTTGGCAGCCTCAAAGAAGTGGAAGACAGTATTTTTTTTTTCTTTTTAACTTTCAAAGGAATACAGCAATGTAAAAAAATGGCCAAACTGCTAGATTGTACTGGGCTCAGTGCCAAAAGGAGTCTTCACTTTACTTCTGATACAGGTGCATGCTCTTTATGTCAGGGAAACTTTTTGAAAAAGAAAATTCCAATGTCCTTCTTTGAAATACTGACTTAACTAAAAAGCTTGAATAACAGAGCTGAGATGGGGCAGAAACAGCATCCTACTAAAGGATGGTCTCCTCAGCAAATGCTGTTGGGATAACCAGATGGTCGCATGTGGAAGTAAGAAACAGGAACCTCTCACCTGTCACCGTATACAAAAAACCCAATCTAAATGAATCCAGGAACTAAATCTACACCAAGAAACCATCAGACTATTAGAAGAAAACACAGCAAGCACTCCACAAGACACAGGTGTAGGCACAGACTTCCTAGAAAAGCCACCAAAAGCACAGGCAGTCAAAGCCACAAAAAGCAAATGGGACTACATCCAACGAAGAAGCCTCTGTACCGCAAGGGGGCATTGCCAACAGAGCGCGACCAACACAACGGGTGAGGATCTTTGCACACGACACAACAGATGGGGGACTAACACCCAGGACTCACAAAGGCTTCAGCAACGCAACAGCAAAACACACAAACCAGTTAGAAATGGATGAAGGGAAGGAGCAAACGTTTTTCAAGAAGAACAAGTTCAAATGGCTGACATATGATAAAATACTCAGGGAAATAGAAATAAAAACCACACTGAAGTTCCACTTAACTCTAGTGAGAATGGCTTTTACACACAGTTCTTCTAACAACACCTGCTGAGGCTGTGGGGAAAAATACTCTATTCCACTGCTGGTCGAAGTATACACTACCGTAGCCATCACGGAAGCGCCTCAGGATGGAGAGTGCCCAAAGAACTGAAAGTTCATCTACTGTGTGACCTAGCAATCCCAGTCCTGGGAATATATTCAAAAGAAGTGATACCTATGTATGAGAAAGCAACCTATATCCCAACAGTCACAGCAGTACCATCCACAACAGCAAAGACACAGAAACAACGCAGACACTTGTCAAAAGAGGAATGGATAAAGAAACGGTGGTATAGGCAACAGTCTGTGGAATACTCCTCAGCCATTAAAAAGAGCAAAATTCTACCATTTGCAACAAAGTAGTCCTAAGACCATTACGCTCGGCGAAAGGAGCCAGTTTCAAAATGAAAAACACCTAGGTTTTGATATAAGGCAACCTTCATATAAAAAACAGTGAGAAGTTATCCAAGTAAACAAGTATACACATATACTCTCCTAAGTGACCAGGGTGTTAAGACTAAAAGCAGCACAGCAGTGTGCATCTCTACTCCTGAGTCCAAGTAGACTCAGTGACTGCTAAGCATTCCTTGAGAACAAGATGCTGGGGTCCCTACCACGGCCCGTACCTACAGTGTCAACAACACATGGAAATGGCAGAAGGTTGGAACTGTGACTGTAGATGAAGGACTACATTATTGTAAAATACAGAGGAAAATGGGAAGGGGAGAAAGGAAAAAAAAAAGAAATGGATAGATGGGAGAAACTATGTATTTATAAAAGGATATCATGGAAAAGAAATAAAACAGCATCCTACATGACAAGACAGTTTATAGATGAACAATACAGTTCCGCAACAGCACCTGGGCATCAGCCCTCTGAGATGCTCTCCAAGAAAGTCAACAGCTGGAGTGTTTACAGGAGAAAGCCTGGTGTGTGCTTGCTACGTTGAACTACAAAATACATGTTGGTCACACAGCAGTATTTCAAAATTATGTGCCTAATATGAAAACAATTTTTAATAATTTTCTATTTTAAAATTTGTTACAGCATCCTTAAGGGCCATTAGAAGAAAATGAATGAATTCTGTTTGGAACTGTGTGCTGCTCTGTCTCTGATTCAATTGCGTCCTTCCCAAAGGTTCCCGGGAAAAGCTTGACTGCAGGGTAACGGTGCTGGGAGGGGTGGAACATCTCCAGTCTAGGGGCTGGGAGAGGTCCTTAGGTCACTGGAGAATGCTCTAGGAAGGAAGCTGATGTGTGATTATTTGACTTCTCATGTAAGAGCTGCACGAAAGGAGCTTCCCTGGACCCACCCAGGCTGAGACGAGCCTCACGTTGAGAGCCTCACCTGAACTGAATTAACGCAGCATGATGGCAGGCACCATGCCTCAAATCTCCAAAACCATAAGAACAAGCAAACCACTTTTGGAGTGGGCATTGTGGCATTACAGATTAAGCTGCCACTTGGTATGTTCAAATTCCATGGTGGAGTGCCCAAGAGACAGCATAT